GGTCACTATGAGTTGGAATCAACTCAAGGGCAGTGAGTCGTTGCTGTTGTTGAAGGTTGACTTAGCTACTAACACCACTGAGTGCTCAATCTCCCAATAGCAGAAATCACAAAATGGTATCATTCCTTAGGAGCACCAACTCCTTGGGTGATGGATTACATTGGATCCCTTCCATCTTCGAGCGGATGTCAATTTACCCTCACTGAAATAATGACTCAGTCTGGAATGGATTTGCCTCCCCTGCCTATAGTCCTTCTGCCAGCACAATCTTTCGCTGATTTTCTGTTTACCTTACACACTTTATATACCATGACAATAAAAACAAAAACTAAACTCACTGCCATCGAGTCGGATCTGACCCATAGTGACCCCTCCTTGGGTTTCTGAGGCAGTATCACTACCTAAGTAGACTATCCAATCTTCCTTCTGAGGAGTAGCTGGTGGGTTTGAACCGCCAGCCTTCTGGTTAGCAGTGAAATGCCTTAGGCACTACGCTATCAGAGCTCCCATGATATCTCATAATCTCTCACAATTTTTTTATACTCAAGAAACACATTCCACAGTGAAAGAGGTAGGACTTGTTCTAATGACATAGGGTTCTCTGTTATTATCACTTACACCAGCACCCATAAACAACTGGCCTTAAAGAATGGTGAAATGGTCCGTTGAAGACATAATTATGATGACAGTTAGGAAACATTTTGTGAAGTCTGAAGCCCATCATACAAAACTCAGTATATTCTCTGAATCAACAAACAATATATGATGCTGTTCCTCCCAAAAACAGAATACAGAGGTCTAGGAACCAAAGGGTTTAAGTCGAAGTAACATCTCATCAATTCACTCTGTGAAGTTCTTTCAAAAAATTTTATCCATAGGAAGTTGAGGCTGCCACCGGGCCATTTGAGGTTCTTTGTAACATTATACCAATAGACAAAAATGTAGGGGACATTTACTTTGTCAGCTGGGATGAGTGATTCCAATTATCAAGGGAAAACAGGGTATCTGCTACACCAAGGGGCTGGGGAATAAAATGTCCAGCGGCAAAAGTTCACAGCAGATGACAGCAACTCAATAGAGGCAGAACCTCCAAGGGTTCAGATTCCAAACAATCATTGTGAAGGCAACTTCTAGGGTCCCTGAGGAGAATAATGTATAGTTTGCTCCTACAAGGCATGCTCAGGATGGCTAGACTCCCTGGAGCAAGGCTAAACTGACCTCCTATGTATGAGTCTCAGAACATTCCCTGGATGCTTTCATCCACACCATGTCTAGTGATCAAGCTTAATAATAATAAAATACAGTACTCATAAACACTCAGTACCACCAAGGTTATCATCCTACCAAGCAAATAACCACGCAGCTAAGGTGCTTGAAAAGTAAGGCAAGTCAGAAACACCAGCTATGGCTCTGTATTAGTTTTGGTAACAAAAACTATCAATAGCTATATACATATGTATCTTATTTTATTTCCCCCCCATTCTAGAATATACATTGTGTCCGAGCCATGCTTTAATGTACACAGCATATCTAGAATGGATTATGAAGTAACTAGAAGAGGAAAGGTATCAGCCAAGTTCCTGAACTTGGAGCTGCAGAGAGTGATAAAATATGGAGTATTCTCCTTTTGGACAGGGGATGAATAGTGATCATGCATGCATTAGCAGCAGCATCTTGGACTAAGGCATTTTTGAAAATGTTGAAGTTCTGGGGAAAGTTTGCTATCAATTTTGTCTTCACAAAGTGTTGGTCTCTAGTAGGTATTTCTGGCTACTCAGCATTCTACCTTGTCTTATTAGGTCAAGACAAAATGTTACTCTAGGGCATGCCTTCTAAACAAGGGTGATATCACCCCCAAGGGGTTGAAAAACAAACTTAGCTACCTTGACAAAGTCTTACTATTTAATTTCTCTCACTGGTTTTTATTGGATATCACATGTGCAGCACTGACACCGAGTTCATGGATACACAAAATTCATACAAAATCAGCACTATAAAACTATGGCAAATAGATGAGTGTAATAGGAAGACTTTTAATTAATTGCTCATTCTTGAATTCGTATTAGAAAAAGGTGACCTATGCATGCTTACTGGTTACCACTGCCTGTGTTTATGATGAATCCTCAGTGCCTTTGTGTAGGACATGGGCTTTGAGAATTTAATTGAAATAGGTTACATGTAATTCTACCTTATTCAATCCATCATTAAGCACTAAAAAGAAAAAATGTAAAAAATGAGTATCTAGTACCTAGTTGGGAGCTCTGGTAGCATAGTGGCTAAAGCACTTGACTGCTAACCAGAAGGCTGGCGGTTTAAACCCCACCAGCCACTCCTCGGAAGGAAGATGGGGCAATCTGTTTCCGTAGTGATACTGCCTCAGAAACCCAAGGAGGGGTCGCTATGAGTCGGGTCCGACTCAACGGCATATAACAACAACAACAACAGTATCTAGTTAAATTTATTTTCTCATATCAAATGAACTAAATTCACTAAAAATAATCTGAGAAATTAAGACTTCAATCATTTTATTTCTAGAGTTTGGAATAATTTTAAAAATTTGGTATATCAATTATATAAATTATTAATTTCCATTTGTAATTTGATACAATAAAGTTGCTCAGCAAATAGTTATAAATGTTAATAGCTTTTTAAAATCTTGTTATTCAGGCATTCTTAACTCTATATTAGATAAAGAGTAAGCTTTATACTCTTTATGTATAAAGCAGAAATATAACTTTAAACAGATATACAGCATATCTGTGGTATTAAAATTTCATAGGGGTTGATTAGGACAACAATGTTGAAAAAGGCTCTTTAGGGGGTGATAAGGAAGAATAGGCGGAGAAACTGTTTTAAGGGCTTTGCCTACCCATAGCCAAGCCCAGATGCTACAATGTAGAACTGTTTGGAATTTAATTAATTAGGCACTGAAAGAGATTAAGATTGGAGAGTTCATTCAGGCCTTCAAGCTGATAAAGGTGGCAAAAACACGAAAAGCAAGGACCTTGTCGTCACTCCTTCTGCTTCCTATACTCCCCATCTAGGCGATTTATCTAGGCTATATAATCCCTTGTCCTGTCAAATTTCTACGTTTCAGGGAAGTGGAAGAGGTGGGGAACCCTGTAAGCCTGATGGCCTGGGGAGGGAAGAGAAGTGGGAAAGGCAGAATTATGCATAACTATGGTTCAATCTGAAACTTGGCTGTATCTCCCAGGTAATACCCAGCCCCTGAGGAGACTATGACCTAGTATTGAATGGAAGTACCTCTGCTTCCAGTGAAGAACACCTCCGTGGCTGAAAGCAAATCTCAATTCAGGTTTAGGAGCTGTCTGGCTCTGGATGGAGATTCTCTTTTTAAAATCCTGTTCCCTAAACAATAGCTCTTTAACTGCTTATAGTCTTCAGGAGGGGAAAGACAACAATTACAAGGGCCTCACTGTTTACAGGACTGTCCCAGTGATTAGGCCCCAGTACCATGGGGGTGAGAGATAGTCAGGGCTTTCTATAGGGAGTGAAAAGCAATACTTCCAAAAATGAGGAGGCAGTGGGTCTCTGATTGTCTGAGTACCTTATCCCCTACAGGGCAGTGCAGCTCGGAGGATACCACCTTCAACCACACAGAAGAGCACTTAAAACAAGTGACTCATGGTGTTCCTCCAATCCATGACTGCTGCCACCCTGGGTGAATTCACTGGCCACAAGAATAACCTAACCAACACCCTCACAAGCCTCTTGGGCCACTGGCCACTCATCTTCAGGAACTGTCATCTTTTTTCCCCTCAGCCACACATAACCTTGGACTTGGGCCTTACCATCACCCAAAGCTCTCTTCACTGTCTTCTTAAATAAATCATCCCACTATCAGCCTGACTAGCCACCTCACCCCAATTCGTCCGTTAACTCTCTTAATGCCAGTGACCAGATACCTAGAATAGCACCAAACATAGTAAGCCCTCAAGTATATCCACTCAATGTACTGCTCCTGTTCATGGATTTCACTAAGATTCCTGACCACAGATCCCTATATTGTCCCCTACTTCATTACACATTTTCCTTTACCTTCCTTCCCAAGCCTGCCTGGGTCCCATGGTCCACCTCTTCAACTACCCTGTGTACCCACTATGTGTCAGTCATTGTGAACATAGCAGTGAAGAGACACTCACTGCCCTTGGTCCTGTGTCCTTATGGAAAACCCAGACAAAACTCAAACCTTGGAAGAAACCAGTATTACTGAGTACCCTGCCACAGGGATGAAGTCCCTCCAAAATCATGGGCTCATGAGAACGTTCACACACTGTGCAGAATGTAACCAATGCTATTGAACAACTTAAGTAGAAATAGTTGAATGGGAACCTAAAATGCCGTTTTTAAATCTTCATGGAAAACACACACGAAAAATGTTATTTTAAACAATCATATGCTCCATCCTTTACTAAGCCTACCCACTGCCTAATATTCTTCCACAGTCATCTCTGAGTCCTTTCCAGATAGTACATTCTCCCAGGCTTCTGGGAATTCATCCACTCCCACCTCCTCAAGGACTGGGCTGCATGAATTAATCTTCAACTTCTCCATCTACTGACTCCTACCCTGCTCAAGCCTCTTTGCATTCCAAACAAATCCTCCCTTGTTCCTATACTCCCTTTAGCTACTATCTCTCTCCTTGTTTTCATCCACACTTTTAAAAAGGGCAGTCAATTTTTTTTATTTCAGTCTCCACTACTTCTATTTTCTACTCCAGACTTGCCCACCTCAGGGGTCTTTTTCAAAGTGTTCCCTCTGTGCCTACATGCCCCGAGTCCACTCTACTGAAATTTTACCTGCCCTCTAGACTAGAGCCAAAGCTTTACATATCCCAGAGAGCCATGCTAATCTTACTCCTATGAATGCAATATTACCTCAAACTAAGCACAGATTAGGGTGGAAATCTTTCCAGTTCATTTTTAAATGTGGTAACAAAATGTGATAATTCACCAAAAAAAGCAATAAACCCAGAAACAGCAAATAGATTTAATGTAGAGTGTCAACTTCAATTGATTGATAGTGGCTGCCTAGAGTGCTGTATTGAGTAGGTTTCTTAGGACACACCCTGGCTCGAAGAGAAAGACTGCTGGGATTAGCAGTTATCTGAAAATACAAGTAAAAGAAAATAAAAAAGTCAATTGATATCCACAAAACAGGAAGGGATATAATGCCCAAAGCAGTACTTTCCCATAATCTGTATCATTCTCCAACCCTGGGCTTCCTGTAACAACCCAGTTTCTCACCCCAGCCCCACAAGCCTCAACCTAAGCTAAGGTTGATACCTGAAATTTCACTTGTAGGAGAAACCACAGGCACCAGAGCTGCCATTGGTGCTGGTGCCAGCTCCACTGAGGCCAGAAAAGAGGCCAAAAGTAAGGGTGGCAGTCAGGCTTGAACTGGCACTGAAGCCACTGTTGGCACTTGCACTGGCACCAGCACTGGTACCACCATTCTCTTGGGCTTTTGCTTTAGCTTCAGCTCCTGCCTGGATCCGGGCTTTAGCCCACGGTCCAATATCAGCTTCATCCCAGTTGCAAGGCCCAGCAGCATTCTCAGAACCAAGACCAATGCCCATTTGAGCTCTAATCTCGGCCCTCGCTTTGGCTTCAGTGGCAGCCTCAGCTGCAGCCTTCAAATCTGCTTCCATTGCTTCTTGGTACTGTGCTGCCCATTCTTTGGGATCCTTCTTTTGTACCTGAAATGGAAATAACAACCATTAAAAGGTTTATAATCAGAGCACTGAGCAACTACCACTTGCTATGCACCATACTACATGCCATGTAAAATAAAACAGAACAAGCACTACTAATAACGATGCACCTAATACTCCGTCCCTGCTGTGACACTTACTAGGTCTGTCACTTTGAACATATCATTTAACCACTGCTCTGGGCCTCAGTTTTCTCATCTGCAATAATGTGAATTGTTAAGGCTGTAAGGATTAAATGACTCAGATAATATGATTGGTAGTTGTTTGGCACATTAACAGAGGCTTCATAATGTTCATATATGAACTGCAGGCCATTCTGCACATATGCTGCCCCAGCCAGGGGCACTCCATACTCTCAATATGCCAAGGTCAGGCAGTTCTCCAATTACCTTGCATGCAAACTTGAGGACTTTCATCTTGCTGGTCTCATAGTAAGAACGCAGGCCCCAGAAGAACTCATATTCAGGGGGATTGCTATTGGGGACTCTGGCATAATCCAAGTACCTTGAAAAGAGAGGTTCTTTATTGCTAAGAAAGCCTTTATTGCTAAGATCCCATATGGCCCATGCATGCACGGCCTGGACAGGCTCCAACTAAATATTGCTGACTTTCCTCCAATATTGAGCCCTCTACCATTAGCCCTGGGAGCTCTGGTAGCGTAGTGCCTAAGGCATTTGACTGCTAACCAGAAGGCCGATGGTTCAAACCCACCAGCCACTCCTTGGAAGGAAGGTTGGGCAATCTACTTCCGTAGTGATACTGCCTCAGAAACCCAAGGAGGGGTCGCTATGAGTCAGGTCCAACTCGACGGCACACAACAACAACAACAATAACCATTAGCCCTACCCAGAAGCCACTTGTAGATGCAGGGGAGATATGTGTAGGGCATTTGTTCATAGGAAGGCCACAAGTTGTCTGCCCCTTGTCACAATGAACCCAGATTCCTGTTGGGTGTGTTGTACACAGAAGAGCCATTCTTCAGGCCCCCTGCTCTGAGTACACCCCATTGCAAGGGACTTGTCTGTGGCCTGGCTGAGCTCTATAAAGGTCCACCACAGAAGATGACCATGAAGGGAAGACACAGTCAACCAAGAGCAATGTGCTCCATATGTACTCCGTATTATACTCCTGCCCACATGTGTGTGTGTATGTGTGTGCATGTGTGGCATATGTGCCTGTGTGAGTGCACAAATGTTTCTCAAAGAATAAGGATGGGGTGGACCCTGGCCAGAAAGTCAGGAAAGTTGGGCTCCAGGCCTGAATGGTCCCATTACAGCAATGGGCCATGCCCAGGGTAGTCCCTCTGAGCCCCAGATTCCTTAGATGTAAAATAAGGATGGGTTAACAGTACCCTGCAGAATTGTTATGAAAATGAAGTGAGATCTATAAGTCAAGTCCCTAGCACTGCACCTGGCTGCCTAAAGCTATCACTCCATGGCATTTCTTTATGGAAAATAATTTCTATAATGCCCTGGTTGACAAAGTAGAAAGAACCAAGGCTTGGGAGCCAGGTTCTAAACATAGTTTTTCCATTTGCTATCTTTGTAACCCTGAGCAAATGATGTCCCCTCTCTGAGCCTCAGCTTCCTCATGTGTGTAATAATGGTGATGATAATCCTTTTTTGTAGAGTAGTTTTGAAGACTAGGAGCTCTGGTAGCATAGTGCCTAAGGCACTTGACTGCTAACCAGAAGGCTGGCGGTTCAAACCCACCAGCCACTCCTCAGAAGGAAGGTTGGGCAATCTACTTCCGTAGTGATACTGCCTCAGAAACCCAAGGATGGGTCGCTATGAGTCGGGTCCAACTTGATGGCACATAACAACAACAACAACAACAGTTTTGAAGCCTAACTGTGAGAGTGCATGTGCAGGAAACATGTGCTCCTTATTCCTGTCACAGTCCCATATGTGCACACAGAGAGAAACCATGGCTTTACCACTTAGTTCTGAAAGAGGCCAAAGACACGGAACACACCACCACCATACACTTACTTTTGCTTCACAAACTCATCAGTAATGAGCTTCTTCACATCTCCAAAGAGCGAGTGATGCACCCTGACCTCAGAGGAAAAAAAAAAAAAAAAACACAATTAGGGCTATGGCACTTCCCAGATGTGGGCAGAGGCACTTCCAACACAGAAAAGAGGTTTCTAGCACATTAAGGAAGCTCCATAAAAGCCTAAGAGATGGTGAGAGAGGGATAGGGACAGAGAGTTTAGGACCATTTCCCCATCCACCCAGGTTAGAATTCTAGGCCTTCTACCCAATCTGGAATCCCCCACCCACTCCACCAGACCACCACGCTGATGCAATCCTGGGACCATCCTCTCTTGCCAAAGGACAACACGGACAGCAAGCACTGAGAGCTCAATCATACCCAGGGCGTAGCCCTAACTTGCGCAGCACCTCCCAGATGACAGCTGCAAGGGAGGCAAGAGGAGACATGGACAGAAAATGAACACATGGAATTCAGACCATGACCACCCATTCAGCTGCAGGCCCAGCCACTCACCCTCACTGGACCGATTTCCATTCATGAAGATGATGCTAAGAAGCACCATAAGGAGACCCAGTTTGGGTGAGTCCTTGGTCCTAAAGCAGTAATAGGATGGAGAGAAAATTTACATCCAGTAGCCATTTGCAAAACACTTATCAGTCAGCTCACTAGGCTAGCCTCTCCAAGATTCCTCAGATATCAGAGAATTCTCTGCCCAGTCCATGCTCCAGGGTCTATATAACCCTGGGCAAGGCACTCAGACTCAGTAAAAGGAAAAAAAATCACATTCTCCTCTCCCCATGTCACCCAGATGGAAATAAGTCGGCCAGACTGGTACACACAGTCACTCAGTCTCTTTTGAGTCATTTCTTTCTCTCCCAGGTCCCTCAGCCCTGTGAGAACTCTAAGTACAGCTCCACTGATGATTCTCCGGTCCTTTGAGCACCATGATATACCCGTACCAGGAAGCCCTCCCTTGAAAATCACTCTACAAGGCCAGGCCAGGTACCAGCAGGAAGAGACAAGCAATGAGTTTTTCCTGGGAAGCTTCTGGAGAAACAGAAAACGTGACAGCAGGAATGCCCTACCCCAGGCCTCTATACCCTTTCAAGCAATCATAATCAGGCACCACTACTGTGTGCAAAGCTCCAACCAGGTGCAGGAGCTAAAGCAATGGCTTTTTAAGCCCTCTTTCCTGACAGTCTAAGAGGATGTGGGGAGAGAGGACAGGGAAGGGAGTAGTACAAAATTCCCCTTTGAATCCTATCCCCTTCAGCTTACGTTCCCAGTATGCCTGCATCAGTGGGTTCTAGGGTGCTGAGAAGAATATACAAGTGGTCATTCTTATCAATTTCCTTCAACTGGATTCCAAATACCTGTAGATGGGGAGAACAGCTTGTGTGATCACATCAATCAGGTTCCTGGGTATCTCAAAGCTCCCTTTGTACCCAGGGTGTGTGTGCGTGTGTGCGTGTGTACACGAGGGGAAATCAGTGAGATAATGCATATAAATCACTAAGTTTAATGCCGGGCACATAGCAAACATGCAACAAATGTACTATTATCAACAGCATCTTTGTGATTAACAGAAATCTCAGGAGACAGAGAATGGACAATAGAAGGGAGAAGTAAGCATCTGAACATTACAGCACATGTCCAGGGCTAAGTTGAGTGGTTTGGGTCCTAGCTGTGCTTTTGTCACTGACTTGCTGTGTGACCCATGGCTCCTCTATGCCCCTCCTCAGGCCAGTCCGCCCATCTGCACAGTGATGGGGTAGATTAGTGAGTCTCTGTGATCCCTTCCAGAACAAACATATGTACCTCTGTTAAATCAAGGCATTCCTACTATTCCCATCCCCCAGGGCTGCCCCTTTACCTTCTCCAAGGAATAGCCTGCTCGTTCAATGATTTCAGGGTACACATCAGTGTATTCTTTGATGATATCCTTCAGCATGTCTGCAAGAGGAGAGTGTTGTGAGCACCTTGGCTGAAGAAAAGCCAGGAGGCCCCTGTGCCCAAGCTATAGACCCTTTGCCAACCCTGCTGTAGGTGGCATAGCTAGGTTTCTGGGGTAATGAATAAACATGCTAAACCCAAAACCAAAACCCACTGCCATTGTGTCAATTCTGACTCACAGTGACCCTAATGGACAGAGTAGAACTGCCCCATAGGGTTTCTAAAGCTGTAAATCTTTATGAAAGCAGACTGCCTCATCTTTCTCCCACAGAGCAGCTGGTGGATCTGAAATGCTGACCTTCTAGTTAGCAGTCAAATGCTTTAACCACTGTGCCACCATAGCTCCTTAATAGGGATGCTTACACTAACAAATTAGAATTTTGAGAGGGCAGCAGGAAGAACTATGTTCTACCTAAGGAGAGCAAGGAGAGAGGGCAGAGCTCGTGGGGGGAGGGAAAGGACTCTACCTGAGCGCCTGATAGGGATCTTCGTCTGGTCTTTAACCAGCAGGTACTTCACCAAATCATTTGCCTCAGAGGGAAGATGGAAAGATCAATACATATTGGAAGAATATTTAAGAGGATGACAAAGAACTGGGCAGGTAAAACAGTTGAAAAGGCAGAGTGGAGAGGACAGAGCTCTTACCCTCCCTTGCAAAAGGGCGACATCTCGAGGTGGTGATGCTTCAGGTTCTTGGGATGACTGGAGCTTGGCAGCTCTACGGCGAGCCTTGCCCCTACGGGCCTTTGGTGACCTCAGGGAGAGCAAGGCTCTCCGAGCCCAAGCAGCCAACCGAGTCCTTGATGCCCTACGGGCCCAAAAGGCTATGGGGCCCCTTGAAGCCCTGCGGGCCATTGAGGCCATTAGGGCCTTTGAGACCCTTCGGCCCCCTGTGGTTCCAGAAGCTTGACTCTGATCACTGCTGCCATCCTCTTCCCCATTCAGGTGCTTCACCTGAATCAACAAAGAGGCTCAACATTACTAAGTGAAGCAGATGGTACTTTTTCCTCACCTTGTCTCTTCCAGGAAGCCCCTTTAATCCCACCTCTTTAGTGACAGCCTGATTCGCTAGCCATTGGTCACTGTGAGTCCTGAGCTTGTCCTTCACTGTCTTCCAGTCAGGAGTTTCATCTCTTCATCAGGCCAGAAACAACCCAAGAGTGGGACCTGAGGCTTTCTCCTCTTCCTATGTCCACCACTAGCTCTTCTCACACTACCCGGACAAATCACTTCACCTCTCTGGGAGTCAGATTCCTTCTCTATAAAACTGGGATTATGATCCCTAGCTGGTTAAGAGTTACTTTCAAGATTTAATGAGAAAACCTATGTGAAAGTGCCTAGCTCAAAGCCTAATACATGGTTGCTACTAAGTAAATATAAACTGAATTACCCTGAGATTGTAGCTCTGCACATTCATGCCTCATCTACCCACCAGTCTATGAACTCTCTGAAGACAGGAACTACATCACATTCCTCAGTTTCCCCTACATCTTTTGATGAGCACAAGAAACTTAGTAACTTTTTCTAGAACAAATGGACCAACTCAGAGGAGAGGAGAAGAAAGGCCAGGTAAGAGTGATGACTTACCTTTCGCGCTTTCTTAGCCTTGACCTTGGGCCGAGTGTCCTGATGCTCCTGAGTCTCAGCTGCTGCACCCTCAGGTTCAGGTTCATCTATGGGAGCCTGAGAAGCAGCAGCCTCAGTCTCCAAGGCCTTTGTATTGACCTGGGTATCAGTCACACAACTGACCTTTTTGGTCTCAGTGCCAGGCATTGGCACAGCCTGTGGGTCAGCATTCTGCATCTTGCTGTCAGCTGCTGGACTTTTGTTTTCAGCTGTCAGAACCTGGGTATCAGTCAGCTGAGTGGTAGGTAAGGCTTGGGTGACAGCTGCCTCCTGAGCCTCTTGGGCCTTTGAGACCTTTATAGCCTTTGAGACCCCTGGAGCATTTGAGACCTTTATGGCCTCTGAGACCTCTGGTGCCTTTGAAGCCTTGGGTGCCTCTGAAACCTCCAAGTTTTGGGTCACTGCCAATAGAGTCTGTATTACCAAGCTGCTGTTCTCTTCTGAAGCTACAGTCTGCAAGAAGAGGAAGTAAGGAAGCTCACAGACTCCTCCCCACCACCAACTAGGCTCCAAAATTCCAGAGCCACACTTCTCTGACCTGCACCAACTCCTATCTGCAGTATGCTCTGCCTCCTCTGAGCAGGAACTTAATAGTCAAAGATGGGCACCCCTCCTCCATTTTGGAAGGGATGGGGCAAGACAAAGCCCAGGCTGGGATAGAAGGATGGGGATGGGATGGGAGGGGCCAAGGGATGTGGGACATCCACAGGGACTAGAGAAGGAAGCTGGGTCGGAGACAGAGGGAGGGGCTTACCTGGAAGCGGGTTAGACCCACACCACTCTCGCTTTTATCAGACATATTTCAAATTAGCTTGGCAAGAGCTGAGCCTGAAGGGGAGAAGGCCTGAGTCAAACAGACCGTCCACTGAACGTCTTCTCCCCTATTCTGCCAGGATGATGTTCCTCACCTTCTTAGGACTCAGATCCTAAGTCCCCCGCCCGACCTCTGTTCTCACACACAGGAATCTAGAGTGCCTAAAGTCTTAAATTCTCTACTGCTGCACCCTCGACTTCTACAGGAAGATGTGCCAGCGCGGCAGCTCAGATGACCTCGCCCCTTCTCCCAATGCACCCCCAGCTGAAGATCGTTAGTGCGCATGCGCGTCCGCGGCTAGGCCCGTTTCAGCCCCGCCTGCTTTCCTAACACAAGCCCTTTCTTTGAAGTCCATTGTACACATGCGCAATGCGCAGCTAGCGCCTGTACGTGCTGGCCCTTCTCAACACGCCCCTTTCTAGCGATCATAATGCGCATGCGCATTGCTCACCGTCTCAGGCCAGCACCCAGCTCCAACACGCCCCCCTAGTCAGGTCCATAGTACCATTGGTCCCGCCCCTTCCCCAGCAAGCCTCCCTCCCAACTATTGCAGTGTCTGGTGATCTTAGCCCCTACCCAGCTAACACCCACCTAAGTCACAGTACCTCCAGTCCCGACCTTTTTCCTAACACGCCCCCCAGCAAAGTGCATCTTGTTTCCACCCCTTCTCTAATACACCCCCCTCTTCAAATCAGTATTGAGCTAGTGATTCCATCTTGGACCCAGCCAAACCGGATCAGTCCCCTCCCTTCCCAGCCAGACAGATCCGGTAAGATCCATTCCTTACGGCAGGTTTTCTCCAGCTCCCAGAGGGTGAGGCCGACCCCTATCGGGCTCTGATCCAAAGCTGGCCCCTGCTGCTCACCTCGTTGTCCTACAACCCCAGAGTACGTCCGCTCTCTCCTAAAAAAAGGCCCCTCCGAAACTCAGAAGAGAGTGCCCTCCCCCTTCCAGGCCGGAAGTGGTCCCGCCCCTTTCCGCCTCCCTAGGGGGCCTCAGTTCCAGCCTGTCTCCCCTCCCCCGCTCCCTGCTCCTTAGCACTTACTACCCTCGCTGCTTCGTTCTGTATACCCTATTCCCAAATCGCATTTTCTGTTTGTCCCACTAAATTTCCTATTTTTCCATTCTGTACATCGTCCTCCGTGTCACCTATGACCTCCCAACCCCTTTTGTTTCCTAACTCCTTCCTGGATCGCTTCTCAAGATCTATATTCCTCGGTTGGTATTACCCTCTCTGTCATATCCCAAGTCTCCAACCCAACAAGCTGGTTCTTCGTTTTTCTCCCCGCTGGTCTTTGCTTCCCACTCCATAGAGCCCACTACCCTGTCAGTCGTCCTTGTTGCATATACTCAGTTCCAGGTCACCTCTTGCCCAGTTGCAGTGGTTCAGTAAGAATTGCCCACCTGCCTGCCTTTGGGTTAAAGGGAGCTGGGATTCTAGTCTGGCTACTAGGGAAGCCCAATCATAACACCTCTCACCTTGTCCCTGAGCGAGTCCGGGATGATTAGCCCTCTCTCAGTGCTTCTTGAAATCTCAGTCTCTTGGACTAGAGCTGCAGCCAGCACAGCCCAGCCCCTTTCCGCAGCCCCCTGCCCCCCCTTCACCCTCCTTGGAGGTGGGGCAATGGGGCCCGCTCTGGGCGGTCTGACGCCAAAGCTCCTGTTTATGCCACTATACCATGCTTGGACTGAAGCCCTTCTAACCAAAACCACCGCTCGAAGTGGTGGTAAATTTCAGAAGTAATTTACTGAATTTATTATTTTTACATCTTCATTTTCTCTTATAACAAAGGCAATGTGTTGTGAAAATTCAAATAATGTAGAAGTGTGTAATATATCAATGAATGTCTGTCCTCATATCCTAGAAATAGCCATTATTAACATTTTGATATACATTCCACCAGATTTTTTCTATACATACACTAATTACTTGAGTTCTCTCCCCACAGATGCTACAGTATACCTATTTTCAGTAGCTTGTTTTTTTCTAGCTATATATTCTGAACATCTCTCCATGTTAGTGCACATTTTTCTTAACAACTGTATAATCTTTCTTGTATGTTGTTGTTTTTAGGTGCCGTGTAGTCAGTTCTGACTCAGTGACCCTATGTATAACAGAATGAAACAATGTCCATCCACACCATAGTTGCTTTGCTTAAGGCCCTTGTTGCAGCCACTCTGTCAATCCATCTAGTTAAGGGTCTTCCTCTTTTGTTGCTAACCCTCTACTTTACCAAGCATGATGTTCTTCACCAGGGACTGATTCCTTCTGCTAACATGCCCTAAGTACATGTGGAAAGTCGCCATCCTCACTTCTCTAAGGAGCATTCTGGCTGTACTTCTTCGAAGACAGGTTTGTTCATTCTTCCGACAGTCCAAAACCAAAACCAAACTCACTGCTATCGGGTTGATTCTGACTCATAGCAACCTCCATTGGGTTTCCAAGGCGGTAAATCTTTATGCAAGCAAGAATGCCTCATCTTTCTTCCATGGAGCAGCTGATGGGTTTGAACCACCAACCTTTTGGTTAGTAGCCAAATGCCCTAACCGCTACACCACTAGAACTCCGTTCTGGCACTCCTCGGAAGGAAGATGGGGCAATCTACTTCCTTAGTGATACTGCCTTGGAAACCCAAGGAGGGGTTGCTATGAGTCGGGTCCAACTCAACGGCACATAACAACAACAACATAGCATATTTAATATTCTTGACCAGCATCATAATTTAAAGACATCAGTTCTTCTTTGTTGTTGTTGTTATGTGCTGTCGAGTAAGACCTGACTCATCGCAACCCCTCCTTGGGTTTCTGAGGTGGCATCACTACAGAAGTAGATTGCCCCATCTTCCTTCCAAGAAGTGGCTGGTGGGTTTGAACTGCC